TATATATGTTCCAATTTTCACACCAAATTTCTCATTAAAATAAATGCAATTCAATTATAGATATATATGTAATGCAAATTAATTAATATCTAATCAAAACAATTAAAGGTTTATTCAATTATTACTTTTTAATTATTTTAAATATCTTTTGTTCTAGATGATAGACAGCTTAACTGTCTTCGAATTATTCCATTTGACTATCAAATATGTCTTGCACTGATTTATACTACTAGAAAAGCAAGTTTTAGTAGTATATAACCCTGCCTAAGAGAACATTGACTTTTTCACAAACCCATAATGTAGTTTAGCTGGTCTTTTGATTCCAGTAAATTTTATCAAACATGTTTGTATGTTGAATGGGTTGAGCAGTACAATCGAGGGGTTTATATGCGTGTGTGCGTCTGTCAGAATCAATTTGGTACAAAGAATTGTCTAACTGACAAGACCGTACCTCAGATAAACGACCCCGATGGAGTCTTGGAGTTTATACATTTCTGTAGTGCTTTATTTTTGCCCAGTTATGAAATAAGATGATTATGATAAAGCTAAGCAGAAGTAGTTGAAATTGACCTATGCCTACTTTCCCATGACGTTGATATGTCGATCAAACCTACACTCACTTGTGAAAACAAGAGTATCTCTTCTAAATAATCCAATCAGTTTTATAGACAGACATTTAATATTGTTGCCCTTTTGTAAACGTTATAGATCATCAGGTTTCATTATCGACTGAAATACAATGAGAGATTTCATACACTTGTTTCACTTAATAAATTTCGATAAAGGAAGAAAGACTACATTTGCAGCGTAAAATGATACTGTCATTTGATCTACCAGGTCCTCATCGTCTGCTGTAATCTAACTGAAATTACAATGGTTATGAAAAAATGAAAATGACATACTCCAATGTTTGAATAGTGGTAGAAAAAAACACGGTGCGTTGGTGGCACAGCGGTAGAGTGCTCGCCGACCACGCAGATGGTCTGGGGTTCGATCCCCGGCCGACGCACTCTCAAACCTCGGTAAGCCAGTTATACAACTGGTAAAGAGGGAAGTTTGGTCACAAGGCTAGCAACTGGGAATGTAAATGAATAAAAAAGAGAAAACTCGATAACAATTAAGGCACCCAAAACAAAAGCATTACAGTTTTTAGATTAAGTTACCATCAGTTTATATGCTTTCAAAATAAAAATGAAGGGGGAAGAGGAGACAGAGAAATCTAATAAACAACAGCTTTAGTTTATAAATTCACACAATGACTCAAGAAACGTATAGTTCATAAGCGTGAGATTTCCCCAGTGAGCTGAAATCACTAAAATGAATGACTAATCAGTGTAATCAAAATGCAATTATTGAGGGAGTGAGAGACTGATTACACCCTCTTTCTGTATGCATATGTTTGGTTTGAGACGCTTGATTGCAACTGATTCAGCAAATCGCAGTAAATTTGTTTTCCTCTGTATGTTTGATATTTTGGAAATCTCGATGAAATGACCCGTTTGCACAAGGTGTTCGGTAATTACACTTCGTGAATATCCACATCCTTCTCTTTGGATATGCCCTAAAAGCTGGATAGAAGCCCTTTTTTCTGTCCTTCCAATGCATTTGCTTCTGCAGATGCACGTAAATTTATGAACACAGCTGGAGGTAACATCAGCCAGTTACCAACTTAGCTGCAGGGAGGCAACTCTTTACTGCTCCTTTCATTCTCTTGTCAGTCTTTTGTGATACTACTAATCCTTTGAATGGGAGACAAATAAATACTTTGTTCTTTTTCTCGTCCTTTTCTTTACTATACTTTTTCGGATAAATTCTTTCGGATACCCATTTTCCTCTAGGCATTTCTCAAACAGGTCTAATTCTTCTCTAACCTTACTGCGCGAACATAGCTTCCTGAGTTCGCCGCACATTCTCCTCCCTAATCCATACTTTAAGCTCATAGGACAGCACAATGCTCAGTTAGTTGATTAATTGTTCAAGTAAAAGCAGTACATTCGTACAGCAAATTCCATCATCACCCAAGAGAAGGTGAAAAATGAAATTTCTACACAAAATCTTCAACCACCTCAAAATATTTACTGATTACTGAAGGTAAATAATCGAATAATGCAATGTTGAGATATATTTCCAGTGAAAAAGGACGATTATACCAACCACACCTCGACCAACCTCGTGATGGGTAACGTTGGTGTTATTGCGATAGTTGAGATCAAATTAGATTTCGTGTGTAAATGAACCACTAAGAACCTGAAATAATTAGGTGTCCTCTCGTCCCAGCTTAGGTCTGTTTGGCATTATGCATCCAAGACGCTATCAGGAGGCACAGGTTATGAGACGAGCCCAGTGATGATTTAACCGTAGAGTTTAAATCGAGTGTCTAGTGAATTCCAACTTCTGTCGTTTCTCAATAATCAATGAAATTATTGAGTATCTATTCTCACTATTATAAGAACAGAATTTTTTATTTTATTTTTTTTTTATTTTTTGATTTACAGCTTGATTCCACACCGTACTTTTCAGTACAAGTATGGAATTTTCAGCATGGATATCGGTAGCCCAAATTCAGGCCGACCATAGATATCGGGTGTGCGCCGGCAGGGGATCGAACCCCGGACCATGTGCATGGTCGGCGAGAGTCCTAACCACTGTGCCACCGACGCACAGTGGTAAAACCACACTCAATCATATCAAGGCCTCGATATGATTATGAGCAATAAATTTTGCTTAAAACGTCATTATTAAAAAAATAAAGAAATAATCCTCTATCACTGCGTGTTTGAAAACTACTTCAACACTGTGGTGTGCAGTGCCACAAACCTTTACCAACATCATTCACCAGCTATATGATAATGCCTTGGGTCAGGTGATACACGAAGCAAAAAGTAAGCAAACCCACGAAGTTAATATATGAATAAGACAGGGCTGCCCACAACTAGTGTGTAGTCGATTGGATCATGCGCCAGATAGCAGGTAGCTAGAAGACGAGGATACGCTGAATGAATAAGAAGACTCCAGAAGATCTGAATTTCGCGTATCAATGATTTATGTTTAATGTCAGACAAATTTGAAGACTTGCAGGCGAAAACCAACAAGCTGGCGAAAGATGCTAGCAGCACAGACAGGACTTCAGGTGAAAAAGACACAGGTGGTGAAGATAATCAGCGAAGAACAAAAACAAACACCAACCACTACCAACCGGGGAAATTTGAAAGAGGTCACTTCCTTCACTTATCTAGGCAACATTTTTTTCAAATGCAGGCCTACAGCATGAATGTGGATGTCAAAGCCAGGTAAAATCAGGAGGGCAAGGGAAACTTTCATTACTCTGTAGCCAGATTGAAAATCTTCTGTACTCACCAGAATAAAAAACAACATTCGGGTTTTGAACACCAATGTTAAAACAATCACTGTTTCTATGTGGTTCAGAAACTTGACACGTGTGTCATGGAAACCAATTCTAGAACCCTACTTTAGACTTTTATCAATAGCTACCCTCTTCACTGGCTCCATATTGAAGATCAAATGGACAGCTGGCTAGAAAGCGCTAGCAATAATTAACTCTAGGAACGAACGAATCAAGAACCTATTGTTCATCAAACGTTACGAAGAAAATAGCGATGGATTGGGGACGCGCTGAGGAGACTGTCGAATGAAATTACCTGCTAGGCCATGCCTCAAGTGGAACGCGGATGGTAAGCGACAAGTTAAGCGTCGATTCAAGGGTGATGCGCAAAATATCATGTGAGTTGGGGGAGATCAGAGACTATGAGCAATCGTGGGACCACATGGGAAGAACCGCAGAAAATAGGACACTGCAGTAAAGTGCTGCTGAAGTCCCATGTTCCACTCAGAACCCAAGGGAAGAGCAGTAATAACAGTGTGTACTTTTATGAAATAAAGTCATTCAATGCTGGAAGTATTTGGTCAGACATTCAAAATCCTGTGACGAAATCTACATAGTAACGGATAAAATCCATTACAGTGGAACACTTGAAATGGATAGTAATTCTTATTAAATTTGATCGATTATGTGAATTAAATCGTATAAATAGGTAAAACGTATAATGAACACTCTTCAGATACTTATTAATGAACACTAGTAGCAGTTAGTATGTCTACAACCTGCGAACTGGTTAGGGTACTATGAGTGGTCTATTTTTGAACATTTTAGAAAGTATCTATCAAAATTAGCTATCATATTAACGATGGATCGACTAAATAATGCTGTTAAATTCATCCTAAAACCATTTTTCTGACAGTAGCCTTATAAAGTAGCCCTTTCCTTGACCAAAAGAAAAAAATAAACAATTTTAGGAGACTGTTTTATTACTTTTTTTAAAAATTGATTTTCACTCTTTATCTCTGTTGCTTGTTCTGAGGTCAGTGATTTCAGGGTGAAGATAATAGAGAGAGGTAGGCTAGAGGTAAATACTATTATCAGGAAAATGAAGCACTTCCGCCAGCTAGCTATCTAGTTAGCCAGTCAGGAACCACACCCGTTTTGATGAGTCATAATTCCACTTGAATTGTCATTACTATTGTTATCATTATGATTTCTAGTGTTGTTTGTAGTTTTGTTAGTGTGACAGATTTCTTTTCTAACCCCAAAATGACGATATCAGTCAGTGTAGAATTTCTGTTCACAGCACTGCTTTATTTTCTTCAGTGAAACGGTTAGACTTACAGCTTATTCTTTCGCTTACAAGTACTTTTGTTTGTTATAATTTATGCGACTCAAAAAGTTGGCGATACTTTGGAGTGATTGACTACAATCCAACAGTGGGGAAAAATATTCTTTCTAACCCTTTTGTAATTTTCAAATACTCTATATAGGTAATCAATTTAACTGCATAGAATACTAGTTGCCTTTTCCAGAAGTCTCTACATTTTATTTAGGGAATAGATAATCTAGAATAGAAAGGAAGAAATGAAAAGTATACTACGGAAGTTAGTTAGTATTACGCGACAGATGTGAAGATGACGAAAATCAGGCAAAATGTATGAATAAAATTGGCATGCTGTTGGAAACAGCGGTAGGTAGTTGAATCAGTGTCTGTAAGAGCTGAAACTACGACTGAAGTCTTTAAAAAGTTAAGTGCAGAAGAATACATTAGAAGATGAAGAAAAGTCCCTGAGTAAAAATCCTTCTCTGGGTATGATAAGATGATGGAGTGAATGCCTTATTCTTAAATAAGTTGATCAGATGTAACGTTGTGAAAACTGCCAGTGGTTTATATGTGTATTAATGACACAGTTGAAGTATTTTACTATGGTATTCGAATAGTATGCAAAGCATTTTGAAGGTTAAGACTGGTAGTATCGCAGATCCAGTGATGATAAGATAATCGGAGTCATTATTTAATTGGTGGACGGCAACTAGCAGTGGAATCCAGGATGCGCATTTCGTTCTATTTTGGACTCATCACTGGATGTACCTGCATTTCTCAGTGAGTGATGATGTTCCAAGCACCGAGGCTCGAACCCAGTGCCTATAGTTTCAAACGCCAAAGCGTTATCCACTGGACCACAAGAGCCACGAGAACCACCTCTTGTGCAACTGGTCGTATTAATTTAATTGAGTTTTAGATTTTCCAGATGAGGAGTCCCAAATAGGACGAAATGCGCATTGTGAATTCCACTCCTAGTCACCATACACCAATTAAACACTCATTAAATGCCCAGCAACATCGAAGCATCTGCACAGGAAGCCGACATGTCAACCTAAGACCAAGCACTTCGGTCCAATCAATCGACGGGAAAATCTAAAATTTAATTAAATTCGGAGTCATTGTCAATCAAATTCAGTTTACATCTTCCAAAGAATGTTTTAAATCAGAAGCATAGCTTTGAGTTTAAGTACGGTGAACATGCTTTGTTCTGTAGTGAATTATATTCATTTATTTTCAGGATTAATCTGACAGGTATTCGTAACTGTAATGATAATAGGTAGAGGTTCAATATAGGGCTTCAACAACACGTCTCCGCTGTGTCCTATTTTCTGCGGTCCTCTTAAGCTGTCACTACGACTGTCCATATTTGCTCATCTCCTCCTCATACAATCTCTTCCACGTCACCCTCGGACTACCGACTAATTATTTCCCACTTGGGGTCCACTCAAGCTGTGACCTGATGAGCGATTTTATTCGACGGTCCCTTCAGTGCATCCCCAATCCTTCGCTATTTTCTTCGTCACATTTGTTAAGCAATAGGTTCTTTCTGGCATGCCAGCCATTTTATCTTCATTATGGAGCCAGCGAAGGGAGTAGCTGCTGACAAAAGTCTACACTAGGGTACTGGAAGTGGTTTCCCTGACACATGTGTCAAATTTCTGAACCATATAGAAACGATGATTGATTTAACATTGGTCTTCAAAATCTGAATTTTGTTCTTGATTCTGGTGATTGCAGAAGATTTGCAAACTAATTTCAGAGTGATGAAAAATGTCATTTGTCTTTGCTATTCTGGTTTCCACATCCTCAACCAAGCTGTAGCCTACAAGTGAAACAAGGTTTCCTAGATAAGTGAAGACAGTGACTACTAGCCAAGGTTATCGGCGAGTATTTGTCTTCATATCCGACCTGATGGACCCTACTGATTACAACTTCTGATTAGAATTTCAGGGAACTTTATCCAGTAACCACACACTAGCGAGGATCGCATTAATTTTCATAACCTTGGCTAGTAGTCAAGCTTAAATCACGAACTGGTAGAAATTGGAATTCACTAGCTGGCCACTGGATAGGCTCTCAGTGGCTGAATGATCTACTAGCTTCTCTTGAAAACGCGAATTCCTTGAATTCAAACCCTAGTGAGTGTATACTGATGAGAAGACCCAGAGAAGCACGAAACAGCTGTTTAGTATTTTGAAATTTCCGTAAACTGATTCTATTGAACTGATATGCTTAGTCTTCCTTCACACGTAGTCTTTTTGACTATGCCTTAAGATAAACATCGTGTTGCTTGGTCACTTGTACAATAGGTGAACAATAGACGAGTGCCATATAGGATGAAACTTGGGTCGTTGATTCCACTGCTAGCCCCCTTCCCCACTAGCAGAAGGGGTTCGGGTATTTCGTGAAAGTTTCTAACTAGATAGTCAACGCCCTATGCTTGATGATGTATAACTGAGTAGAGCCCTGGGTCACTAAATTAGCACCAAAATGAAAGAAAAGTAGCTAAATTCACTTGATGAATGAGACGTTTGGCAGACGGATAAATGTAATGCAAATATTTTTATTCACGTTCTCTCTATTGTCATTTGTTTCAAATAACCTGATAATCAAATACCAGTGGCACGACTTTCATGTTTCAAATGTTTTAAACTCGAATGAAAGTACTTCTACTTAATTCACCTTCAGTCACGTTTAAAGTTATTTTTAGATTCTGTCAAACACACAGATACTTAGGTCCACACATAAATACCCTTATGTTGAGAATGATTGTAAGAGTGATAATTTCCCGGAGATTACGTAAAACAGTGCTTATGTTTATGCCTTTCCGTAGTTGTGTGCGTGTGTCTATCTGTCTGTCTGTCTGTCTATCTGAAGAAAGGTAAAGACTGTTACAGAAAGGTTCTTCTGTTTACTTTCGACTGTATAAACTTTAATTGTCCAAACAGTAGAGAGACAGCGAGACGGAAGGAGAGATTTCTTACTCACAATACAAATGAAAAAATACAACAAAGCACACTAACTCAATAATACACCCTCATACGCCTGTATACAGACTCAAACATACAAATATTGGAAGAAGGATGAAGGTCAAAGGGAAGGAAGGATGTTGAATGTATTCTCTAGCATTATTTATTTGATGTATAGATATATATCAAATTAGAAAATTGTTGAGTAAACATCTTATGCCAAAAACAATAACAATAAGATTGAAAATATGCGTGGTAAACAATGTCTTCTAAACAAAGTTGAGAAACAGAATTTTTACAAAGGCTAAACACTCGAGGGTCATCTTGATCAGTGTGCAATTCTGATTCTTGAAGTTCAGTGACGTGACGCCTACTGGGCACTAGTTTTCAGGTGAAGGAGAGCTGTTTATCTGTGATAATGACAACAGTGAGAAGTGTTTTCTTTGTGAGTGAGTTATAGTTACTGTGATCTATGTAACACAGGAAATACTAGAAGTTGCCGATTCTAATTGTGCCATGGAGTAAATGGCTTCTGAGACTTAGAGTACAATAGATGATATTTTTTTGATTGGGTACTAGACAGCCACTAGCGTAATGTGTTTAAACGTTTGTTTGGTGCAGACTGGATTCTCTCAGTTAAATTTGCAATGTGGCCACCGTAATGGGTGATTTGCCATCTAGGTGTATTGTGAATTGTTAGTATTAGATGGTTAGAGGTAAAAGGCAAGAAGACTTGCACCTAGGTCTTGTGTTAGTTGGCACTCATTAGCAAGGCGTACCTGCAACCTTGAAGGAAGTCATTCTGAAAGAGGCATCTCTTTTGCACGTACTCCTAGTTTTGTATGGCTGAATTTTACCTGGAAAATTGTAAAAAACCTTCATAAAGCGAGGAAAAAGGTCTCCTGAGCCAAATATAATCTATCCAGTTGTCAGTTTTGACTAGAGATACCGCCACAATGAATTCTTTTCTGGCTTTTAATGAACGAAAACGGGGAAACTAATGTTAGTCTTTTGATTCAAATTAATTTCACATAACAATACACTTGTTGAAGTCAATTCTTCTCCTTGAGTAGGTACAGAGCCAGTCATCATTGAAATATTTCGTCGTAAATTATACTGATTCAGAATCCACATGGATTTATAAGTGCCTTTCATCTCGGCTAACACTGCGGATTTCATCATTAACTGACAGTAACTAGAGAATAACTGAAAGCCAAAGAGTACTGAAGAGATATTTTGTCTTATTTCGGAATTCTTTAGTACGAAGCCAAGCCGTAAACCTTTCAACCATAGGAATGGTACTCACCGACACGTGAATTCTAACTTTCATGAATTTATAAAACATAACTACCAAAATAAATTATTTAAATTAATCCCAGCGTGTTAAAAGAATCAAAACAAGATTTTTCCGAACGTATTGCTGTGTAAGCCACAGCTTCTTCAGCAGATTTATTCGGATTTTTATTAATCATCAAAATATATACATAGCGAAACGTTCAGAAAAATCTTGTTTTGATTTTTTTAACACTGTGGGATTAATTTAAATAATTTATAATGAATCAATCTGACTCGGCGCTTAAATTGTTCCAGGAAGTTCGTAACACCTACGGTTTGGAAACTTATAATAACTACCAAAAGCTAACACCATTATTGAGCATCCACCTAACCTTGACGTCGTGAACCCTAAAGGTCAGGAATAAACATTAGATCTTCAGGAAATTCATCAATGACGCATCATTTTGGTCCACTACCAGAGTCACTGTACAGTTTTATTATGGTAGTAAGTATAAACGTTTCATTATAGAGTAATAACGTCCGTTCATGGTGTGTACTTCCGAAGAGTCTCAAGGAAGAACGAAACAGCTGTCCACTACTCCTTGGGGATATGGTTTCAATGGTACTCCATCTGAATCGAATCTTTACCAATCAACACATGAAAATGCATAATGCTTCAACGCAATGACGTAGAAAGCTTCATTTATTCATCAGTAATGAAAATAAACTAAAAATTTACAACAACAACAAGAACAAAAAATCAAATTTCCGCTTAATTTCAATTTGACTAATAAGTAACTTTTTTCATTTTCCCGCTTTCTTGTAAACTTTTCCTCCTTTTTCTTCTTCTTTTTTTCAGTTTTGTAAATTAAACAGTGATACAGCCGATTCTGTTCTACGTGATATTTTGAAACGTAAATGGGGTCTGAAACCACCTACCCTTATCATTACTGTTTTTGGTACAGATTTTGAAAAGAAAAGAAAATTAAAAATGATATTTAAAAAAGGTCTTTGGAAGGCTGCTGAAAGCGGTAAGTACTGAATGTTGAGTGTAAATAAATTCGTATTCATGTATACGTTGTATTATTTTTGGTTGGAACAAGATATAGGAGTGAACAATATTGTTTTCAATGAGATCTTCTTCTTCAGGCTTTAATCTAATTTACATAGATTTATATATACATAAAAAAAGTTTAACAGTGATGATGAGTTTGGAGACCAAATAAAGGAAACGTCTGAATAGGTCGAAGTCGCCCCAGAAAAGATGTGGATACTTAATCTCGAATTTAAAAGTAATACTGAAGCAGAACTTCTCCATAGATGGCTTTCGAAGTCTCTCAGTAAAACATACTTCGCCGCCAGTTTACGGGTAACACTTCCCTGCAAGAAACTATTCAGTCAGAATATGGAAGACAAGCTGTCGCATTGGGCCACTTCAGCAGGCAGATACCTGTTGACTAAAAGCTGGTGTGTGGCTGAGTACATTGGCTGTACCATGCGTTTGTTTTCAAAACATGCTCGATAACACTATCCAGCATAGTTAGCAAAAGGAAAACGCAAGGGCTTATACAGTTCGGTAACAGGACACCTGAGGAATTCAGGAGAATCTGCTCTACTTGAGAAGTCCCTAAAAGTCATGTACAAGATACGATTAAGCCTCTCAAAGTGAGTGAAATCAAGGCATCCAGGAATAGCCCAGGCACTAGAGATCCAAACGTTTAAGCCCACGCTATGTATTCAAAAGAGATACATCCAACTGTTGTCCCTACCATGGCCATCATGAGAAGTCATTCCCACCAATAAAGATTATTCTATTACGTTTCTTATCCGACCTTCCTGTTTATTTCTGTTATTTCTACGTTTCTTACTGCTATTTGCATAACTAGATTTGCTTCCTTCGTTTTTTATGTCCGAACTTGCTAAATACTTTGTTATTACTACCTCTTTAATCCATAGTCGTACAAGTAGTCAAGTTTTCCAGTAATTATGATCTTATTATGTCTTTTCTACCTGATCTTCCTGATTATTACACTGTAATTTAACCTTTGACCAGAAACAATTTGGGAACATCCTCACACATTTACTATAAATACACGAAAAGGCAGTCTCGTTGTCAACTTCGTCGAAAACAATATTACCTTCGATGAAACCGTCTTTTAAAAAATAATGAGAATGATATGTGCTAAATGTTTTTAAAGGTTAGCGATAACGATGATAATAATGAAACCAGAAATAATGATTATAGGGCTTATACAGTTGGTGATAGAAGGAACGAAGGTGGTAATAAGTATATATGTAGACAATTCAACAAGTAAATTAAGTCAAATCTGAAAAGATACACAATCCTAAATGTGGATTGAACAGATAATCAGAGTTTAAATAAATGTAATCAAAGTACGAATGAAATGGAAAATAAGAATGTATGGGAGGTTTATTCTAATTAGAATTTACCTACCTAGGCCAAGGGAGAGACAACGGTGGAACAAACTGTTTTCGTTATATACAAAGACACTAGAAGTTTTCTCTCCAATTCCCATAGCTTCGACTACATGTAAAAGGCAGGTTCGAATTTCGTTTGAAAGGTCCAATGGAATGCGACAAATAGCTTGGAAGTCACTTCTTCTGTCCACTTGGTGACCACTTCTTACAGATTTTATTTGGCTTTTTCCAAACCATGAAGGAAGATGTTCATTAATACGTTTGTTGGGCTGTCGAGTTGTTTTCTCTAATTAGCTTTCTTCACAATAGCAGCTAAACTTGCAGATACACATAGAAGTGGCACAGCTAGGTAGCTTGTCTTTCGCTTGAGCAATCATAATTGGTCGTCTGGAAAATGACAAACAAAGGGTGGTGGCAGTATAAGTCCGTTTTATTACTCTCGATAATCTTCGCCGTTGGACTGTAGAAGAGCTGTTTCCTTCTAATTGTTGTCATTTTCTCTTTATTATACCCGGTTTTCATATGTCTCTTTACAAATCTACTAGGATAACCCATTTAGACCAGCGTATTTTGGATGCATCCTAATTCATTTTCTAGGGAGTCATCTGTACAGATCCTTCTTGCTCTATTCGTGAGGCATCTGGCTGAATTGATTTGATATCGGATTGATTGGAAACCTCACAGTTCACTGGTTACCTCGAAAATCTAATCGTTCTTCAGTTTATTATTTGAAGAAGTCACATGATTAGCAACTTGAGAGAGTAAATAATTTCTTCAATTTATTTTACAGTTTTTTAAGGCTTGAGCATCTGAAAAGTATCATACCCCTTGTTTTCTTTCTTATCTAATCAGCTTTTTTGCCAGTACTTATTCGTATAACTTACAAGTTTGAAATCTTTGGTTAATCCGGATTATTGATTTTTCCCATACTTGAGATTGTTAATGCCTAGTATATATTCAGCATTACTCCTAATATAATAACTACTAAGCTCTAAGGTGCTTGGTCTTCATAAATAGCCTAGAATTATACTATTATGACTATTGTTCCTTTGGGTCCCAAGTGGAACATAAGGCTTCAACAACACATCTTCACTTTGTCCTATATACTGCTCTCCTCTTTAATTGGCCTCACGACTACCCATAGTTTCTCAACTCCTCCTCACACAATATCCTTCAGGTCATAATTGAACCACAGTCTGACTTATCGTTCCCCATTCAGGTTCCACCTGCGTGATGGCTTGTTATGCAATTTCACTCAACGGTATCCTCACCGTCTGTATGATGCATCTCCACTTTCTTCTGCATGTTCGTTGAGTTAGACGTTCTTGGTTGGTTTGTTCCCAGAGTTACTTGATGCAAATTGTTTCTGGTTAGCCAGCCATTTGATCTTCATTATGGAGCCAAAGAAAGTGGTAGCTGTTAGTAAAAGTCTATAGTGGCTTGTTGGGAGTGGTTAACGTGACACGCATGTCAAGTTCCTGACCCATGTAGAAGAAGTGAGCGACTTAACATTGGTGTGGAAAATCCGAATTTGGTTTGTTATGCTAAGTATAGCAGAATTCCAAACTGATTTCAGAGTGATAGAAATGTCCTTCGCCTTTCCTATACTGGGTCACCTGATACGTGCCACTGTCATATAACTGAGGAGTGAGGACAAATATTCGCAGAAAATGACATTGGCTGGTGGTTGTGCCGAAATCACCAATTGGTAGAAGTTAGAATTAGTCGTCTGGACACCGAATGAAGTCCCAGTGTTCGAATTGTCTGCAAGCTACCTTGGCTTGTAACTGGTAGGTCATGGGTCCGACCCCGGATGATAAAGAAATCCTATTGGGTACTTAAAAGTCATGTTGTGGGTTTGTAATGACAGCTTTGTTAATCTCCAACGGCTTTGTTTCTTGAGTTGCGACTATGTTTATGAGCTTTCTAGTGCATGAACACCAGGGTTGTTCAGAGAGAGAGAGTACTGTGGATGTCATTTAGTGTATTTCTTGAATATGTGAGTGCTTTTAGTGGGTCGATGTTGTTTTTGACAGTGATTGATTGTTGAGTGAGTAGACGCTGTGATTGATGTTGATAGTGATTGTTGTGGGCGTGCGGACGTCCGACTGTAGATTGGTGCAGTGATCCTTAGGTCGGTGGTTCGGATCCGCCTCGTCGGAGCTGGTGGGCTTTTGACTCATCGGACAACCACGAGTAACACGAGGCTGCTTTGTCCGCCACAATCGAGTAAATCAAGCCATCAGTCTGGACATCACCGCGTTTGCTGCCCACACATGTCGTAGACTATGCGTCACCTCACCGAATTTACACCCCATCGCCTGTTTCTCGTCATCACACAGGACGTCTGAGTGTGCATGATCCGGCACAGTAGCACTACATTCACCATCTTCTGTGTCTCATCTTTTTTTCTACTCTGATACTCAACAGTTTGAACCAGATGATATTAAAATATCCGACTCTCATGCATTTCGTAAGATATCGATCAACTTAATGACGTATGTTTCTTTCTACCGGATGATGAAGAAGGAGAATATTACAGAATAGAAGTTACAACATATGTGGATTATTATTCACATCCACATTCTGACAAAGCTACGTCGGCATTTCATTGGTAGCGTGTTCCCCAACCTTGCTCTTGGTTGACGCACGTCTTGACCTCGCCTAGTTTACCAGGCAGTATTGAGCTCAGAAAAGAGTCCAGGGTGAGAAATAAGACTGACAAACGCACCCTGTGAAAATGATACCATCGCTATTGAAACTTAATACCTCAAAGCTTTAAGCCTTATGAACATAAATCATTTTTACGATTACTATTGCTATGAATACTAGAAGTTTTATTTCTACTAGTACATACACTAGGCATAGTATACCCTACTACTACGCGAACTGCAACAACAGTGACATCGACTGCTACATGTAGTGCTACCACCAGTTTGCCTCATTTTCATGAACGCTGATGAATACTGATGCAACCACTGTCAGTAAGAGACCAGTTTTCATCAAACGCGACTTCAAACCCAATGATTCTATGAGAATCATGAATACAAGATTAAGTGCAGCCCTGTCAAGGAAGTATCCTGAATCAAAACCAATCTCTCTGCTTCGAAAATTCTCTTCATTGGTGCCGTCAAAGATCCACAGGTACCCTTCATGTGTTATCTCCAACTGTGTATATCAAATCACATGTATCTGTAGTATCAGTTATATTGGAAGAACAGAAAGAAGTGCCTACATCAGAATCTTCGAATATATACCAAAGAGCTTCCACCTAAAGAGGCGATACAGTTTAGACTCTCTGATCGCCAAACACCTAATAGACACAGGACGCAGAGTAGATGCACTGGCATCATTCATAATAATTAACCGACAAAATAGTTCAAGTCTTCTTCAGGTTGCTGAAGCTATTGCAATAAAACGGCTGAAACATGAACTATCTGTTCAAGAGTAATTTATCGTTCGACTTCAGTTACCCTGGTGACTCATCCCTTAATAGCTCTTTGTTTTCTAATTTCATTGATTTATCTTTTCAATACCCCTCCCTTCATTACATCATCATTTTCAGTTGACCTCTCGCACACCGAATTTTGAT